TATCTTAATAGACGACGCACCTGATGCGTCACACGTATAGACTAAATATGAGACGCACCTGGTGCGTCACACGTGTAGACTAAATATAAGACGCACAGAGTGCGTCATATGTGGTGTCGAATATATGACGCATCAAATAAAATGCGTCAGCCTTAACTATTATAACTGAACTTGAACTTCAAGCTGAAACGTATCAAAAATTCCAGTGAGATTTATCGTATTTAAACTGTACGTGCGTCATAAGATGCGGTCGTCAAAATGTGACAAGAATTTAATTTCAAAATACATTACACGCCGATAGGTTTGACACGAAATCACCAACGAGGTCGATTAATTACGAGGTCGATGTGTATGGCTACGATTATTTATCAGGGAGTTTACAAACATTTTTCACCAATTTAGATGCAATTTTGATATTCGCCACATATGTGACACCGCATATGACGCACACGGTGCGTCTCGTATTTAGTTTATACGCGTGACACACGAGGTGCGTCATTTATTAAGGACCTATCGATAATGACATATTCAATACACATCTTATAACCTGCTCAATAAACGATACGACAACGCGTCTGATACGATCTACTTAATACGCACCACATGATACATCACATGTTACAGTTTCTGCCACATCGACCGTATGTAACGTATTGGATAGGTGTTACGCGATCAGAACACATCGTGACACAACACATGCGTCTCTGTCTATAATCTATAATACATCACGCACAGCTTGTCGTATTATTTCAGTCAAAATATTAAACGTTTCTTGTGCCATTAATGACTAGTTGTGTTTGATGCTGTTCGATCGATATGTCTACAGTTGTATAACGTTTGACGCACCAGGTGCGTCTTATACTATGTCCCATGATCGATAACATATTTGTTGTATGTTATGCTATTATAATATGTTATATACTCTAAAGGAGTATCAGTTCAAGACCCAGTCTAAATGGTGTATAACATTTGACGCACCAGGTGCGTCTTATACTATATCCCATGATTGATAACATAGTTGTTGTATTTTGTGCTATTATAATATGTTATATACTCTAAAGGAGTATCAGTTAAAGACACAATCTAAATGGTATATAACATTTGACGCACCAGGTGCGTCTTATACTATGTCCCATGATTGATAACATATTTGTTGTATGTTATGCTATTATAATATGTTATATATTCTAAAGGAGTATCAGTTCAAGACCCAGTCTAAATGTTTTAAGAAAAGATGCGCCTCGTGCAACTTGCGGTATTTATCCGATAAAGAGGATGACGCACGCGCTGCGTTTTTCTGCGATGCCATTTATCAAACGCGACACGTGTCATACAAGCTTCGAACTCGAATAAAAAAGTGTCGTTAACTTGTTAGCAATTACAAACATCTTAGTAATTTGTAAGTAACTATGGTGAACTTTGACTCGACTTAGCATCGCATGACTCATCAAAATAAAGCACAGAAGGAAGGATTAACAATATGCTACTTTATTAATCGGTCAATCTTTTTTACTTATCGTAAACAACGTTCGTCACTTATACTATGAATAAAAGATAGAAATCTGTCCACTCGAATGAACGATTATCTGCCGATAAAACTTTACGAAAAAGTTTTAAGCCTTGATTTATTAACATGTGCCACTCGATTAATTCGTAGAAATTTACCCGTGGAATAAAGGAGCTAGAGAAACAGGAATCCAAGAAGACTTCGCTATTTCGAGAAACATGACGATTCGAAATCGTCGCACGCGTACTCGAAAACCGTACGAACCTTGACATTTCCAAGTGAGCGAATTTTTGCGGAAGTCTCGGGATCCTGTATCAGATCAAACGAAGGACGAGCAGTTTCGAGGATCGAATCGGCAATTAGAGATTCGTTTCTTCCGGCTCAGATCCTCCGCGAGCAACGATCGAGCTACGATTAATATGCGTTTCGAATCGTGCATACAATCAAGGGAATACAAAAAAGAAGCGTTTCTTTGTCTCAAAACCTCGTGTTTTTTTTTCTTAGACCTTTTGCGTAAACCGTTTCCTCTAACACCCACAAATTTCAGAGAATCGAATTAAAAGGGAGTGGCGAGATCTAATCGACAGAATTTTTATGAAACCACGATAAACACTGATATCGTTTCTGAACTTTCAGACAAATTGAAGTTGGAAAATTTGAGAGTTGAGCGTACTCCAACAAACTTCATTTTTAATTAATCTCGTGTGCTGTACGGTGAGACCATCGGGGGGCGTGATACGAAAAAAAGTATAAAAATTACTTTACAAGTTTCATGTATGCAACTTGAAATTCAAATTCCGTTTAAATGTTATCAATCGAGATAAAATTTGACCAATTGTTCAAGTGGCATATTTTCTTAAACTTATAATACAGTGACGCATATTGCGGTTCAAAGTCAACCGAATCATATATTTTATCAGTGTGACTAAATACGAGACGCACCGGGTGTGTCATATTTGGTGTCGAATATATGACGCATCAAATAAAATACAATGTATTGTATATATTATATAAGAATTATTTTAATATAGATTTTTAATAGATGACGCACCTGGTGTGTCATACGTATGAACTAAATACAAGACGCACCCTTTGCGTCATACCTATACATGTGAAGTGATTAAAGATTTTCCCTGAGGAGTTACCAAGATTGAACTATAGTTAATCATTCTACCACGGGGTAGCAATAGAGCCGATCCGCCATTGCTAATCAAAACTTTAAACTAATTCAAAACTCCACGACTAATTCGAACCTGACTCCGTCCGATAAATAATTCAGTACGAGTGCTTGAACGACATTGTTGTGTGGTATTTTTGTAATAACTTCTTAATAAAGCGTTTATGTGAGGCGAAGTCCAAAGAAGAGGTAGGTGTGTACGCTTGTCGAATAAAGCAGTCGCGATCGAGTAGAACGTGGATCGAAGCTCGAATCGACTGTTCACGTGGATGGGTGATTCACGGTTAGACGATCACGAAAAAAGAAAGATAACCAGGAGAGAGAAAGACTTTTACGCGGTGGGTAAACGTGATGTGACTTAATCGGTGTCATCGGTTACAGCAACTATCAATTATTACCAAATAACTATATTAAGGTATGCGTAATGCTTGTACTGTCATATGAACCTTATAAATGGAAGACTGTGTCATAAATTACTTGAATTAATCCATTAGACTGATTCCATTAATATAAACGATTATATTTTGTAGAAAAATTTTATAGGTCCACATGTGGCGGCCATGACAGGAAGAATGTGAAAAAAACTTGCTTGAACAAGAAAAACAAAATGGCGTCCTAAACTACGTTCTATACTTATACATATATGTACAAACTCTAATGTCTATTCAGTACAATAAAACTTCAATTCAATTTTAAATATATTTTATTATTTTAATTGCCTTAGAAGTGAAACGCTTGCCTTAAAAATTCAGCTATTGTATTTTTACTATATTCGAATAAATATACAGTTAAATTAATTTTTAGTTAAAGAGTTTACACAAAAACTTGAAATAAACTAAGTCCATTACCGCTGTAAATGACATGCGCTTAATAAAAATGTACAGATTATCAGTCTTGCTAATTAAAATTACCTAAAGGTATAGATATCTGGTTTGGGCGACCACAGATGTATTGAAAAGTACTTTAAAAGAACAAATGCTACATCCGATAATGAAAATCGTGCTTTGTGAATATTTCTATGCAACATCTATGTTTGACAATTTCGTGTTTCGAGGAATTAATGGAAGAGTATTTACATACCCGCCGACGGTAAACACAGAGGCACTGATATAGGCACACATGATTCAAGATAATATCGCACGCGTTCCTCTCGAGAACGTGTACATATTCATTTTTTTCTACGGACAATTATATCTGTACGCGTATCGTGCAAATAGAACCGTTGCTTTACGACCGATCGCGTGTTACTAACAAGCAATCGCAAGATATGGACAATACACGAGGTTCGCTGCTTAATTTTACGACGGTGAATTGATAAATGAAAGTCGCTACTTTTTCTACGAAAGGTTCAACTTCGTCAAAAATGTTTTAACACTGTGAATAATTAATAAAAATTAAAGTGCCGACTTACGGTTGTATCTTCGAAAACGTGATTTACGAAACCATTTGAATGCAACGTGAATATACTTGCACGATATAAAAAAGAAAATGGCGAATTAATATCGAGTCACGTAACTACCTGAGTATCTAAAAATACATGATTTTAGAGCATGTCAAAATAACTTATTTATCAAAATACGAATATAGAGTACGTGTGAGTAATAACGTATTTATACGACTATGTAATCGTATGAGAAAGTTTTGTTTTATTCAATCACTGTGGCCAAGATACACTTCCTAGAAAACGTTGATCACCACTGTGGAAATAACAGTAGATGCAGAACCAATATGTGTACAAGGATGCGTCGATTAAATTAGGCAGTCAAAACAAATATTTGTATATGAAAGAAATCGAGTCTAAAATTTTAATTATTTGGGAAAAAAAATTAAACACGGCAACACTTTTGAACAGGATGGTCTAATTTTCTATTTTATACTATTAGTAATTTTGTGTCTAGAGTGTTAATACTATTTAACTGTTCCCGTTTCTATGTTTCATTTACTCCTCTGACAGCAAAGTTAATCGTGATTCAAATCTTAATGTTATACAATATACACCTAAATGGTGAAAGGAATTTTAAAAAATTGGAAAACTAGAAAGAAATATAATACAAGTAATACTTATATAAACTTGATATTGTACGTTAAGTCATCAAAGGCACGCGTTCGGGGGTTCAAATAAAACAGAAACATAACCTATACGAAATGTGTATAACCGTCTCGCTTACAATTTCGACAGGCAATCAGATTTTCGAGTTGAGAGATTCAATTAACGCGTCCATAAATTCCCGTTTCCGTGAAACTACAATATCCATTACGTCAGAAAACTAGAAAGAAACGATCGTAAAACCAGTATTAAAAGATGTGTACGCTTACCAGTGGAAGCCGGGCGACAGTCGCGCCAATTATCTCTCGATAATCGCTTTTTCGAACAATCGAACACACACTATTCCGATCACACGAAGCAAGAGAGGAAATTGATTTCAATATTTTAACTGGTCGTTGATCACGGAAGACGAACAGGTACCGATGAGCAGGCACGACGATTTGACGGAGTCACGTGACGTCCCTTCGTTTGGCGGCAAAACGGGAGATAAAGAATGCGAACGAAAAGGAGATATAAAAAAAAGGGAGAAAAGAAAGGTAAATGCGCGCGCTCGTGTTACGACACCGATAACAACTCTATAAACGAACGCGTTCACCGCCGTGCCGTGTTGCGGACTGACTGCGGTTACGCCAGTTGTTTGCTTTTAACCGAGTCGCCATATTGGTATCGCATCCCTTCTACCTGTTGCGATCCTTTGACGCGATGGTTCACGATGCGCGTTCGCCTTCACGGACAATGACGTTTTCGCGTGGATACGTCGCGACGCGTCTCTTCCCGCCCTTCTGCCGAGTCCTCTCACCAATTATTCCATCTGTGATTCTTATTGTTTTCTTCGCGTACTCCTTCCGTAAGTTAATCCGCTTACTTTTTTCTTTTTTAGATACCTACGTTTCAAACTTTAAACCCAATTTTATCTCCGTTTTTATCTGACTGCGGAGGCTGCTACCGGCGAAGGAAAAACATTGTGTTGGACATTTTGACTTATCACGAGGTTCGAATAAAAGCTTAACAAGCGAGATTTTTTACAGTGATTAATAATACTATAACTACTAATTTTAAATATTATTTTATGATTATAAACGACAGAAAGAAATATTTAATTATTGTATGTGAATTATAGGTTAGAAGAAAGAAGATAAATTACATGTTTGCAGGGCCCATAATTGATGGCACAAACGTAGATGTCTCTACATGAAAAAGACGTAAATTCAATTGTGTACTCCCGCAATAAGACATAAAATTTTAGTTAGTATATAATTTAAATTTTAAATTTGCTTGCGATTAGTTTAATGAGAAAAAACCAAATATGTGTCTAGACTTTCAAGGTCACCATAATTCCAAGTAATCAAATTTCTTGAAAGGAGTTTTTCAAAGTTTACAGCAAATGAGTTGGAACGTTATTCTAAATTCGGCAGTGACTGATTTATTTAAAAAAATACAATAAAGATGACGTTTAGAGATCTAGTGATAACAATCAATAACTTATGCAATCTCCTTTCCAAAAATATGCAAAATATTTTTCCTCCATGCCGTTAAAACTAAATTTCCATACTAGTCGTCACACTAAATTTTTTGTCAAAAATCGATGACTATGACATCACCAAAATTCTTGCGTGAACAATGATTATGCACTTCTTTGCTTCTTGCATTACGTGGAGGACGAACAAAAGCGAAATTTTCTCCAAACTTTCTTCAAATATTTTTATTCGTGTCGATATTCAGCTGTCTTTCACGATGCAAAAAGAAAGAAAATACGTTTGATTTATGTTTTGCAAAGTACTTACACGTAGTTTGCGTACAGACTGGAAGAAGCTCTGCCATATTTGACGCCCGGGGCAGTTTCTTTTCTCACATGTGCGACGTAATATAAAAAAGACGGCGTCAATGTATTTTTTTTCGAGCGGATTATACAATATTATTGTTTTTAATTACTTTTTTGCAACACATGTAACGTAAACAAATATCGCGGACTTCATAAAAGATATAAACTCCTTATTACAGTATCATGTTCCATGCAAATACGGATTTTTATAAAAAGCGTTCGCTTCTTAAATGATTAAACATACAATTCATATCAACTGTCACAATCTCTGTAATCCGTACATGTTAAACAACTTTGCATTCTTACGTATATTATGTAGTTTGCAATAATTATGGTAATGAGACGATGCTTTATGGAAATCCTATTAGATAATTCTTAGACGTTTTATCCATTAAGAGGCTTTGTATTTATTTACTGTAGGAATTCATCAGGTGATGCTATATTCCAAAAGAGCATATATGCGCCTTTACGTAAACGTACTGCTTGAAACATCTTTGGCATAAGAAAAAAGAAAATATGTGATCCATTAGTATAAAATTGTAAATTAAAGAACTCATGCGACATTCAGTCATAGCTTTTCTTGTCGTATTGACATTTTTATGCAGGTATTTTGTCATTCGGTTTCATGAAATCGACTCTCATTATATCAGCGATAAAATCGTACAAACAGAAAATTGTCAGGAAACAGAAATATTAAAATCGATTCAATAGTTCATTAAAATTATATCGCTATAAAAAAACGATTGTTTGTAAATTGTATTGTTTGCAAATTCTTCAATCGGATGTATCAAATTTGTACAAGTCACGAAGAACACAAAATATGCAGATCATAATTATTTCATTTTCGCACTTCTTGTTGGTTCAACATTGATTTGATGGTTTTATTGGAGCACATCGGATGAATTAAATGTTTACGTCAACACCGTTTTACAAACACGATTAAAGTTTAACTTTATTACCGTAAGTCAGCAACTTCTTTTATTAATTGAGTCGTAGAGTTTCCGTGATTGTCTGCTGATAAGTGATATATTTTTTGTTACAATTTTAATGCCGTATTTATTCTATCTTTGATCGAAGAATTATTTAAATTAGTTCTTACATTATTGATATCATTTTTTATTCGATCAGTTTTGAAAAACCGAACTGTTGTTTTGCAATTTAACGTCAATCTATTTACAAAATGCTCTACTTACAAATTAAAAATGAAAGAACTTAAAAGAACCTTCATAAATTATTTAAAAAGTACAAACATTTAAAAAATATAATACAAGGAAAGAATGTTTTCACGAACATTGACAGACGTTTTTGATATACATATGCAAAACCTTTTGTGGTAAAAATAAACACCTTCACACAAATTTGTCTGTACCAACATACAAAGTATTCATAAATGTTTGCAGTATATGAAAAGTGTTCACAGCGAGACAATAATTCATAAAAAGCCTCCGTAATGTACCATGTAATATTCCTACCATTGAAGTTTTCATTCCGCAGTTAATCATTTTGTCGTTCCATTAAAATTTTCATCATTCTCTTTATCTTCAATGTTTTCGAAGTTTCGACATCCGCGAAGTTTATTTGTGATCTTCGATTGTCTGAAGTTTATTAATATTTATAAAATTACGTTATCCCTGTTACGACAATATTTCGCACGGGCAACTTTTGCAATTTTACTGCAATTAGAGTTTAGCGATTCTGGAAATGTCAAGGGCGTCGTTTACTTCCGTGATACGCACCGATCGGACGGAAATATTAAAACCGTGAAATTTTTAAAGACTGTAGGATGATTAGCAGAAGTTTTTTTCTTTGATTATTTCAAGAAATCGTAACCTTGTTCATTGGTGACCTCGATGATAACAGAGCTTTCATACTATTTATTGCTTTAATGTTTTAAAATATACAGTCTGTACAAACCTTCATCATCATCTAATAGCTGTAGAGACACTTTGTGTCACTCATGTGAGACATCACCGTGCGTTATATTGACACGTGTTATATTGCCGTTTACTGTATTGACTATATGTGAAGAATATACTCACATTCGTATACTAATCGTTTACAAGTTTACCTTACTCAAAAGGTAGCTCACACTCATCATACATTTTGCACTAAAATATTTGTTAACTAAATATGTTATACATATGATGTGTACAGTGATATGAGACACAGTAAAACAGACAATAATAGATAACGACAAAGAAATAATAACTTCAAAAAAATTCAACAAATCTCTAATAAAAAAATTCTAGAGCCACAACCTGTCAATACTAAAAATAATTTTAACTGCAAATATTGTTCATATATTCATATATTTACTTACTGTACAGCAGCTAAAGTATCATACAGCAAGTGGTTATATCACGCGTTATATTGCACATGTAAACTCGCCACCTCAAGAGGCGCTTCCTCAAAGTATCCGAGATACTCCAGATATGAAAGAACGCCTCGACGAGGTGGCTCGAATATTGTCCCCGCGCCAAGTCCAGTGAATTTCGAAATGGGTAAAAACATTTTTGGCCGGTGACGCAATTTCAATGTCGCTTACGTCAAGTCCGATGCAAACCCGGCTTTCGGCACCGTTTGTAAGAGCAAAGATCAGTGATCCGTGCGAACTTACACGAAAATCTATCGAGCGACCTTTGATCGTTCACTTCCGCCGTGTTTGTTTTGCGCGCGAAGTTCAATGTATTCTTAATCGCGATAAATATTGTATGCATCGTTAATGGGATTCTCACGGGGTACGTTGACCAATTTCGTATTGTATTTCTTATCGATTCTCTTTTAAAAATTAGAAATTAATAGATTCGTTTCGAAATTTAATAGATTAATAGAGACTGTCATGTTTAATTTATATCTCAAGTAATATTCTTCAAATATATTTTGTAGAGCAATCATTAGGTATATTCCTTTCTTTTCAACTTTTCAACGCTGTAAAATTGATCAAAATACCTCGCATGACAATATTAGTAATGTACACAAAATTTGTTACAAATATACTATAAATTATTGTCCATTGACATGAAAGTAGATTTGCTTGATTTAAATTTCCCGCTCTTTCGAGAGATCAAAGGTGCCGACAGTGTCGACTCTGTGTTGACTTCAATTTCAAGCCTCCGATCGAAGGCTGTCTTCAGTTTTAAGTCTTCGATTTGTACAGGTTTCGATTTACGAATCTATTTCTCACCGTCCATAAATCATAGCCTAATATTTCTAGACTTTGTTTACACTGGTAATCGTCCATATTTCAAACGAAATATCGTCGGAGACAGCGGAGGTCGTCGCTTCTTTCAAGGTCACGGAAGGAAAAGGAATTATAGTGAATAACGTATGCTCGAAGGGTAATCGTACCTCAAATAGAAAATATTTTCGGACAAAGATTGCGGCAAGAATTTACACGAGACGTGATAAGTTCAAGATTATGAAAAAAGGTAAGGACATAAACGTCGAGCCATCTCGATATTCCTTCTTTCTACGCAGTTCCGATTCGTTTTATATTCTTGTCTTTGAACTTCTCTATGACCTTCGTTGGTTCCAAGAATTTATGGACCGTGGCCGAAGATTTTTAAATCATTTTTAGAAATGATCGAATCCCAACTTATTGGACCTCGAAATATTTGATCTTAGAATCTTTGTCATTGAATGACTTTATGTTTGAAAAAAAATTTAGTAAAATTTGTTCAGGTGCGAGAAGTCGAAAAATGGCAAAATGGCTGTTCGCGCGGGAAACTACATAAATATCGATCACGATAATAAGTTAATAAACACTGAGTTGCAAAGGTGAATTACTGTTTAGCAAGGTAAATTAAAGCCATAATACGCATGAAATGGATGTAACGATAATCGTAATTTCATTATTATACATGAGAGGGTGTCCTGATTTCTGATCAAATCTCATTAATATTTACGAATTTCTTCCGTAATTATAGGTCTCAGTGCTCTGCATATAGTTCTTTTCACATGGAATAATACGTAATGATAATTTCGCAGATTCGAGACGCCTTGGCTAAAATTATAATTGCAAAAATATATACGCATGGTATGTAAATTTCTGCATCCCTATAACCCTATATCCTCAAATTTCTCCGTCTACCTTGATATTGTTTTTACGCTACACATCCGTGACACTTGTAATGATCATGAAACCTGATTTCAGAATTTGTGAATTCGTAACACGTCGTAAATATACAACGCACGTGACAACACGCATTAAATGTATTAGAAAATGAAGCAATTTGTTCCAAAGACGTAAAATATTCCAAATAAGCGAGAAAAAAGTCTTAGTTGTTTCTACGAATTAATTGTTCACGTAATGTTGATAAAAACATGTACCTGCTCAGGTTACGTCTTTCTGGAATAATTTTATTCCGCATTGGTAAATCGCACACTGTGACTTGCTATTCTTTTTCCAGTAATGTTGCAACAGTTTCAAAACTATCAAGGTTATGTACAAGTCCCTATTGTTTGCTTTTTGTACGTGAATATTGAATAAATATAAATGATGTATAAATCGTGTATAACATTACCTTTACACGAAATCAAATGATTATATTTCGATAAAAAATTGATGTCGAATACAAGGTTAATTATATGACGATGTGTTAATTATAGGTTAACTATTCGTCCAGCACTGGCCATTAATGGCCCTCGTGTCATTCAACGATGTTAAACTTATGTTCGCGTGGGACTATAGTGGGATTGACGTTTAGTACTCTAACAAACGAAGGACGAACTTCTGAGTCGTTTCTAAATTATTGTAGCGCCGAGTAAACTGGAAGTTTAGACACGTAACTTTCGAACAAAACACATCGCGATCGTAAATCGTTCACTTAGAATCGAACGACAAGTTAAAAGCTTCTGTAAAGAGCGGTGGTCGTTGGGTTCGGTAAAGAGCTGTAAAACCAATGGTCTTTATTCTAGAAAACGAGCGGAAAATTATAGCGTGCGACTGAATTGTCGGAGAACGGTAAAACGGAAGCTTATCTCGAACGAAAACGGCCTTAACTATACTCGTTTCGCTATTATTCTGTAGAACGGATCTGGATAGCTCGTGTCATTCGATCCGCGGACGTCTTCGGTTGTTTTCGGGAATTTACGCTTGCTCTCGAGCACCTACTGATTTTTAGTGCATATGGGTGCCACTGGTTGCATTCGGCTGTTTACGGAACCTTTCGGCATTCACGATTAATATCGTGCACTCACGATTGTTTTCGAACACTTCCGATTATGGCAAGAATACACTCGGCTTATTTAGAGAAGGACTTCCTCATCGATTTTTACAAAATTTAAGGAATTTGAATATTGTAGAACAGGTTAACATTTTGGGGACCTATAAATATGGAAATCTAGGGTTTAATGGTCTCGTAATTTTGAAGCTTATTTGATTACAAAGGAATTTGTGTATCTAAGAATTTCGTGCCCTAACATTTGACGATCTAAGGTACTGTATGAACTTGGAGGTTATCGGAATTCGGAAACGAGGACATTCTGAGATTTCAAACTCTGGGAATTTGTGAACTTGAACAATTTTAGAAATTGAGATATTTGAAGTTCGAGAATATACAGACTTAAGAAAATTAGAAAATTCTTGAATTAATATATTTACGATTGCACTCGGAACCGTACGCATGACTTTCGGCAGTTTCCGGATTCCTTCGTACGTTTACGGTAACTGTCAAGTTTAGCGGCGAAAAAACTAGAAGCCATCAAGAATAAAAAGACAGTTTATTTTTTTTCCATAACGTTTGTTCATCTAACACGAAATGTTTAACATCTAATATTTAGTCTAGCACACAAAGCTTCTTTTTAAGGTGTGGCATGTAGATAATGTAATATTCTACAGTCTACAGATATGAAGTTATACAATATTTTTTTATTAGGTATTATAAAACGAGATTAGATTAGTAACATCAGCATTGCTCGCAATATCGACAGAAGATTATTACTTAACTCTTCAATTAACACTCGTTAATATTGTAGCATTCATATGTATAAATCTTAATACGAGTTTATTACCTGTTTTAATGAAAATAAGCTTATGTCGTGAATTACGACTAATTTTTTTAAGCATTTAAAATATTATGCAATTGTTTATCATAAAGTAGAGCACGATTAATTTTTTTGCGAAGAATAAATTTTAATTTTAATTGCACTTTTTTAGTTCTAATGTGCACTTTATTGTTTTTTTTCAGGTATTAAACTTGTCTAATATACATACAAGTATATCGTGTTTGAAAAATTTGACAAATAAGGTAAATATTAATAAATATCAATGAGATTAATTAAAAAAAATTGAAGATAAAATTTTGTGGAAATTATAGGTTGACACAAAAGCTGCAGTGTGTTAGAGAAATTCGAACGGTACCTTTGTGTGGCATGGCCAGTGAATGGCTGAAAGAAGAATCGAAGACGTCGTTTTCCACATGGCGCACGACCCAATTCGTCGAGATCTTATGTAACCGACAACATTGAGTCATTCATGCTCAGCTGATCGCAATACACGGTTGCAATTAATCCGTGTTAACTTGACAATTTCATTAAAAATAATTGACGGCTTACTATTTCGCTGTCTAGAGGATGCCTCATAATCTCCTATGCTGGGGTTACAATTTGAAGCCGAAAATTCCTTCTCAAGTTCTTTGGAATATTATCATGATTGTTGAAGATGGAATAGTTGAACAATAGTAAGACAACTAATATGTTATATCCATCTTTATTATTATATATTATTATCTAAAATATCATAGTATCTTTGTAATAGTATATCCTCACAATCTCATTTGAAGCAGCCAATTATTCCTTAGCTAATCTTACCTAATCTTACCTATTTTTTAGCAAGAACCGCCCTGATTATTTTATCCAGGCAATTCACGTTCCAGCAGAGACAAACGAGCGAAAGTTTCAAGAAAGAAGATGAAACGGATGTATAATGTTCGAAGGATCAATCGTGGAGTCCGACCGATAACAGTGACGGTAGAAGAATTTGGCCTTGGCCCACTGTTTCAGCCAAGTGTATACGGGCACGAGGATCAGAAGAAAAAAATCGAGCGTAAGTGTCCCGATAGTCCGTGTTGCACAACGGTTCGATACGTGCCCACCGAAACGTCTTTCCCAGTTCAGGCAGTTTCGCTTTTAATGGAACGGCTCGTACCGTTTGTGAATCGTGATTAACACGATTCGGTATGCTCGACATTGTGCCCCGTTTCTCAGCCAGCTGATGGATCGCGCCTCGCCTTCGCGACCTCCTGACCCACATTATTTTTCGCAACACGGCCCACCTTTTCGGTAAACGATGCCCATCTAGGCGAACTAGGTTCCTTTCAAATTTACTCAAAAATTTATTGTTCATGTAGGGAGAATGTGGAGGAAAGGGACTTCCGGTTGCTGACACGGTGACTACCAGACTGAAGCGCTTCATAATTACTTTTTCGGTTGTTGGTTCTTCGAGTTCTCAAACGCTTCAAATGCAAGTGAGCTGCTTTCGAAACAAGCAAATCCAAGATAAAAACTTTTTAGCTCATATTTATACGCAAAGAAAGCAGAGGAGCTTCGTTAAAATCGATGGAGTAGGTTCCACATTCTCGAAGCTATTCGATTGAAATTTAGAATACAAGTAGAAGAATATAGTTTTATTACAGCAAAAAATAAAAGAAGTTGAGACACATTTTGTAAGGTGTTCTCCAAGAGATAGGATTGTACAGTTTCATCTCAATTTTTGAAAATATATGTTGCATGTGTAATCTCAATTTGAGATGATGAATATATGATCTCAATTTAAAATAATGAATTTTTAAATACTCTTCTAAGCAACCAATTAAGAAATCTGATTCTAAAAATTGTTGAAAATCCTATAACTCTCGAATTGTTACACAGTCAACCTTGAAGTGAGCACATTTGGGATTCACCTTGATGATCTGGTTACCGAATCGTATTTGAACGACTGAAATTTAGCATAAACTCTAGTGTTATGTAAAAATTCAATTGGGTCACTCGATGAGCTTTGGCGATCACGGAGTTGAATCGTCAACTCGCATGCTTCGGAAAGCGGAAGGCAAACCGCAGATTTAAACTTCCTCTATAAAATTATCACTCTGAATGCAAATTCGATGCTGCATTTGCAATTAGCACTTCTTTTCTTTGCTTAACAACTTTCCACTGGAGTTTATGATGTATATGTATAATTGAAAACCTAGCTATTGTAATATTTCTCAACTAGTTGTAGGCGTAACTTTGCTGTAATTCTAGATACTAATTTTTTTGTGATTTCAGAAAAATGTTAATAAATTGGTAAATTTACTTTGTTGGACAAAATATACTAAAGCAGCTAATAATACAAGAAATCAACATTACTTTACAAAGCAGAACTGAATGTTACAAATGTAACATCAAGCAGGAAAAATAAGAAAGTGAAGCACAATAAAGAAGTATATATTTTATTCAAAAGATTACATAGGTAAAGAAAGCAGTATCAAGTTGTGCAAAAGTAAGTTCAATTACAGTCTTTCATATCTCCATGTGTTTATTATTTAGGGACGTAATTTTTGTATAATAAAAAACGTATTTTTATTCCTTACAGCTATTGCATAGAACTGATTGATTATCACCGATTCATTGAATAACACGTGTTATCATACGTGTATGTCAATACAGCTGTATCAACGAAAGACTATCTATGTCAAAGATACTTTAGAACAAAAGCGGTGTGATCGAATCGACATAAGATACCTGACTATCTATATTAGTATCTACAAGTTGTTTATGCAAGTTATAAACTTTCCTAATTGTCAATACCGAGACTAATAAGCTTTCCTGATTGTCAATAACAATCATATCAAAGTTATCTACAATTGATTCGACAAAGGTGTGCCAAATCCCCAGAAGGGTTAAACGAAGTAAAATATCGACATAGTCATCTGGACACCTCTGCCTATAAAATAGTTTGGTCGGTTCGATGATCGAACCTCCAGTTGATCGTGACGATTACGTTGTCGAAGAAAGAGAGAGAAGAAGAAAAGGAATTTCTGATCGAGACGAAGCCCGGCCCGAGAGAGAAAGTTTCGGCGTCGAGAGGTGAATAACGCGGCATCAAAATGATCGCTAGTCCGTGCAATATTCGTCTAACCGCCACGACGAATCGAGCAGAATTACATCGCGATGAATAATTAAACTTGATAACGATCGACACTTAATTATTGCGGCGTAACATGTAATCCTCGAAAATTTCGACCGCTGTCGAAACTGTCTAGTGTCGAAACTGCAGGAAGTGTGTTCCTTTTACTCGAATGCGTGAAAAATGATTTCTGACTAGGTGTCTAGAAAAGGTATTTGTTTCAAGAATCCTTAAATTCTCTTACTTATTCAATTTGCAAAATGGATCGAGAGGTTCTCAATAAAATATATTGCAGCAGTATGTGACAAATTTTTCATTTATTATAAACGGAAAAATAAATGTATTGGGTAATGTAAATAAATAGTAAATACATGTAAATGTATATGTTCAACAAATGTATTTATCTGAATTATTTATAAAATCCAAAAGAGATATAATAAGTAAAGGGATACAAGCTATTTTAAGGATATCTTTGAATCTTGAACTTCATAAGAAATTAGTAGAGTAATGTAATGATAATAATATCAATAAATAATAATATAGGATGAGAACTGTTATAGTGAAGTAGTTGAATATGGAGAATTACTCCTAGTACCGCTCGCTGCCGCTAGAAGACGCAGACGAACCTCGAATTTCGGCTTTCTCGCAAGTGCTCAACATGCGTAGCACCCACATTCCTACCCATCCCAATAAATATCACGTTACAGACCTGCTAGAATGCCTTACCAGTAGGTCTAAACACTCTCCTCACCTTTCCTACATTTAACAGTTACGCTACACTGAGCATTGTAATAGCAGTACAACTGTAATAGTGACACGGTTTCTGTAAAAAAATATTGCAAATAATTAAAAGTACCTATAGACAAATACCTCTCTAAAAGATGATAATTGCATACATATCGAAAAAGGGTTAATTTATTTATCGATTACGAGCTCCGAAGGCCTTGCTATGAGGAAATGTCTCTAACCAACGCGTTTGGAATGTTTAAAAAAGCGTATACAAACTTACGATCATCATTTATAACCACATACACACGAGTCACGTTCACGATTGACTCACCGAAGTGCAGTGGGTCTACGAGTCTAAGTGAACTTTTTATTGCCGAGGAATTTCGAACGGTGGATATTAACTCGAAAATTTATACGCGTGGTAACACTCTACTTCTTGCTGGTTTTACTTTTACTTTTTGCTATCAACCGTGCCGGTTATTATCCTTTCAGGGAGCGATCGATAAGAAACGAAAAATGAGAAAAGTTACTCGTACCTGTAATTAGGCGAAGCTAAATGTCTTATTTATTCAGCCACTAGATTGAAAAGTTGCGAATATATTGCGACATTGCTTTAATACCGACAATTTTCTTTTCCTTTCTTTTTGAAAACTAGGTTACACTCCAACTAAAATTCTGCGTAGATTCTTTTAGTAATTAAATTCACCCATGTTTTGAAATACGGAACTTTCAGATTTCTTGCGAAGGAACATGGTTTCGGAACGAAACGCATTGTGTTGTGTACTGACCCGCGTTGTATCGCTGCAATCAGCAATAAAATAAAATTTGAATTTACAGAGAATTCAAATGCAATTTATTTACACACTTCAATCGTATCGTCTTATAAATTATCATTATTGCGTTTACTGCCGCGTTAAATCACGATAGAGCAAAAAGTTAAATTAACGAAACGTAACGCAAACATCCGTGCAATTGCGTAAAACACCTTTGATACCGACGAAAACCAAGGGAATAATTATCAATTTACGGGGTCAATTTTGATTCCGCACAAACTGTATTGCCAAACTTTTATGCGTACGTTAATAGAACGTGTCGTAAAAAGTGAAAGGATCATTTTAATTATCCCCAATAAACTGTTTCATACGAAAGTTTATTTTACAAGTGAAAATCTTTTGCTTCGAACTATTATTTGCTATCAGTGTCAACGGAATTTTTCTAGAATAGATACTTATTTTCTTCGAACAATTTATTACGTATTTCAATTACGTATGTAACGAGAATGTGTGAAAAATAAATTATGGATTAATCGGAAATGTCTAATACTGTTTACACTCGCTGCTTAGCGAATGCTGGCGTAAATTCAAATCATTAATGACGTTTAATCCGTGATAAATTACGTTTCATAAGTTTTGCCGCCTATTTACAAGTTGTTTGATTTATTCAAGTTACGTTCGACGAGACTTTAATGTAAAATAGTTCATACTTTTAATAGGCGAGAGGTCAAGTACTCCTACATAACCTAAACCACAACTGTCACGATCGTAGAGATACCTTGAGCCAAGGAGCTATATTTTCATTTTTCTTTTTTGAAAATCAATTTCCAAATCACATATAAAATGATCCTTAAAATAAAAGAATTATTTTATAAACGTACACACTTGTCAGTTATTATATATTATATAAGAATTCCACTGAAATCGTACTAGCTACATTTGAATAGTTCGTAAATTCGCAGATGATCGCTCGTGCGTCTTCGTACATCTTCGTGCGTAAACGTACATTATAAACCTACACGCTCACTACAGCGAATTGAAAATAATTATGCGAATCATGACTGAACATAATTAAGACAGTTAATAAGATATTAATCGACTGCATTGTATTCATGATAAATTATTTAAACAATCTTTACAGAAAGAAACCTTTGTTGAATCCGAATGTACATGAAGTTCGAGAAACACCGATTCGACTGAAATACACGTGACCTGTCAATGCGATACAATAAGATAACTAAAAATTACGATACGTACAATTATAATTATAATATTCATACGTAAATAGTATTCTATGATTATAAAAGATGAGTGGCCAATGAACGATCAGGTTTCACGACCCAGTGCAAAAAAGAAGTGGGGATAGGTAAGTTGTCGGTACGGTCGCGTGTAAATGCGCCTTAAATAGTGCTGCCGCGCAGCAGCAGTTCGAGGAGACTCGAACGACGTCCGAGCGACGCCGGTATATTCGGCGATCAAAGTGAAATGAAGAGGAAAATGTAACTCACCGTGCTGCGGGTTGCAACAGGATGATTCCTTTTTCACTTGTTGCGCCAGTTTGACTTGTCACGTCCTTCCTTTCTGTCTGTTCTTCGCTAGAAACCACGCACTCGTATCACGAGAGAACAGTGTGCCACGCCGGCCGGACTTTCGATAGAATCGGTTAAAAATATATACAGGGCGGGGCTCGAGCGGTGATGCTCGATCCCACTCGCACCCTCGCACCACCGTTTCGCGTTCTCGGTGTATTACACGCTACTTCCGTTCTACGTATTCACCGGCACACGATATCATTGCCGTTATGCCGCGAAATTCTCCTCTACCTTCCTCGTGCTTTCGTGACGTCCCATGGTGCACTATGCGTTACGAGATTGCGCCGTCAACCGGTGACATAACCGTACCTATCGATAACGTGGACCCGTACCTGTGTAAAATGTTTCTTTTTACAGATTGTTAGTTGAGAGGGTATTGTATAGAAAATCTAGGAAGAATAGAACTTTTGTATGACGAGAAACTGTTCTTTTAATTTTGAAAGCGATTAAATAGCATACAAATGATTTTAGAGTAAGAAGCTATAAATGTAAATCATACGATGTAATGTAAGGATATGTTTATTGAAACGTGGAGTGAAAAAGTTTGCGGACATGTCGGTTTGTAATGAGTTTGTTTATAAATAATTGTATTAAATACCAAGTATGTATTTTTATCTAGTTTGTATTTTTTTGCAGAATTTATAAATGAGTCGAAGCTTCGGAATATAAAGTAAACTTGTTTGAATAAAAATTTTTGTGTCTACAGAATAATGCATGCCATGAAGAACCTGATGTAATTAAATCATACCTGAATATCCTAAAAAGACTGAAATAACTAAAATGACTATTAGAAGGTTATACATATATACATGTATAAATAACGGATCTTGTTTTGATTAAAATTTCAACGGTAATATAATTGTTATAACTCTACTTTTATAATATTTGTTAAAACTTATTTTACACCAAAATAAGTCTTTTGAAGAAAACCTTCTTTCCTCACGTTTCATGATAAGTTTGAATAAAATATAATCGTCGGATAAGAGTATTTATCGCATATGCTCAAGATAATAAAAGGTATATAGCAGGTATATAAATTTAGTAAATGGAACACTGATGACAGTCGGAAAAGTATGAAACCGTTCCAGTAATCGTTTCGCATACATCACGAAATATTTAATTTTTAACAATATTCTCTGTATTAATAAAAAAGAATATTTTGTCAATTGTATTAATCATGGAAACATTATTTCCTTATGTGTTTTAAATTGAGAACTTTAATTAAAACATCTCGAAAGATAAAAACCGGTTGGTATTTAAATGGATATGTACAAATTTGTGAGCATATAAATGGTCGGAGCTAATTACATCCCAATTTATTGGCAATTAAAATTGAATCGTGAATTAAGATAAGTGCAAATGTAGCAATAAAAAGAATTACAAGGCAAGATTTTAATATAAGTTAAAAGTCGTAAAATGAGTTTGCAATTTTTTACAGAAATGTTTTATTTAATATCACATTGTGTTCCAATAAGAAGAGGAAGAAGCAGGAATACTTTTGTTGAAAAGTGCCTGATCATCGTACACAGGAATTATTTAATTCTTAAACTTCACTTGTTTGCAACAATGGAAGAGTTGCATTTTAGTCGATTACAAGAGTGACAAATGCAGTGCGTGTATACTACAGTGTGTTTGGACTTATTAGTTCGTTAAAGTTTAATTTTTGAATTATAACTAGAAAAACATTGACCAATAAGAACGCGAGCCACGGAAGTGTTTGTTACGCGCCATTATTGACTATAGCAGCGAACAAACAAAATGTAAAATTTCTACTCTCGGTGTTTACTTTATTTTGACCCATAGAATCAACTTTGTCGGCAGATTTATTAAATGACACCGACGCATAACCAACTGAGCTCGCGCTCTCACTATTGGTACTTTTCTTTAATAATTCGAAAACTGAGCTTTAACGAGGATTTTGGTAAAGGAAAAAATTGTTCAGTATCATTCTATCTATTATCTCTGCGATTCACTTGTCACTTTGTAGACTTGTGTACTCTGTAACGGTGTAATTAAGTTTGGAGAATATTTTTTATTTCATCAACTATGGCTTTGAAGGGCGATGGGAAATGTCTAAATATTTTTGGAGGTTTGAATATTATTTGAATTTTTATTACTGTTTCAATATTATTATTTAATACGTGGTAAGCAACAAGACACAGAACTCATTAGAAATACAAATATTTTTAAGTTACGTACTTTAGAACTTTGAACCTTTGCAGTTTCAGAATTCCTGAACTTTGGAACCTTCGTGACCGTGAGAAATGAAGAATGAGACGTACCTTTTCCGATGGCTTCTCCTTGAACTTTTCGCCTCCGGCACCCTAAACCGATCTAATTCAAATCTCAAACCTGTTCTAAACTCACAGCATATTAATCGAATTAGATTATGAAATCCTACAAATCTTCAGACTACAAAATCACGTTAAAAATAAAAGGACTTTGATATCCCTATTCTCACACTACTGAAAGTAACTAATTAAAATTTGCTTTATTCTCCTGTAATTCTCCTCAATTATATACAAAAATATAATGATAATTGGTAATCATTACAGAGTTGGTATTAGATAATGAGACGATGACGCGAGTCTCTTTCGCAAACGTGTGAACCGGTCTTGACACTTTTTCACGTGGTCGAATAATTTTCCATTCTTCGAAAGCGAAAGACTTCATCTTTGGACTCATCGTCAGTCATTCATGCACGTATGTTTTCTTCCTTCATTTAGTAGATGTGTTAAAGCTAAACGATCGCGTGAACTAAGTTTTCTTTGGAGGGAGGGGAAGGAAATGGAAAATCGGTCAATTAGCGAAAGGGCGGTTTTAACAGAATAAGATCTGTTAATAATATTAACAGAATAAGTTTTAATAGGAGAAGACGTTTTAACAGGAGAAGAAGATATTAAAGCAAAGTCGGTAAATTGGGAAAGGTATTTAGGCACCAAGGAAATAGCGAAAGGTTCCTTTGAATGAATGTTACAACTGGAAAAGGTAGTTAGATACCAAGGAGGTAGCGAAAGGTACCTTTGGATGAATGTTAAAGAAACGGTGATACTCAGAAAACAGGAATCACTTAGAAAAATAGGAATTTTGTTAATTTGCTATATATCATAGAGTGGTTACCCAATTAATTTGCAAAAGAATCGACACGGTTTGTAATAAGGAATTTGTAATCTTGCTATAAAATTTGTGAAGTTTATCTCTGTTACTGTTTTAGCACCCTATACGTCGACGAATGAATTTTGGTAAAAATCGATGTGGAGATGTAGATTAATAATATAATAATTATCTTCGAATTGAATAGAATCGTGAATGCTTAAACTGCATCAGTGAAGCAGTTACATAATTTCGTAGAAATGTTTTATTCTCGTGCCTCGACATTTATATGGATTTATTGTCATCGACAGACACGAGTTTACGAATCGACAGAATTGCTCTCCGATACGCACAATGGGTATTGTAACCACAGAAATATGTCTCAAAGATTTCAGCTGTACTATCAAGCTATTCTTATGAATACGTGTAACAAAACTTGCAGTGTATGGTAAAAAGAAAATATATTGCGATGTGTCTATTGTGGATGCATTTCAAGAATAAGCAATATGAATTTGTGATTAACTGAAGTTAAAGCATGGAAATGCGATAAAGTAAAAAATGGAAAAAATGTGAAACGGTATTATATTCGTATGAGGCTTTCTTTTCGAGAAAATCAATTTTGAAATCGCGAGATAGAGTGAGCGATAGCAGCAGGGTCGGCTCTAAACTCTGAGGGCCCGGGGTAAAAATTAAATTATTATTAATTCTTATTAAAATGGATTAATGCGTTGGTAAAAATTAATTGACGATAATAAACGAAATGTAGTGTAATTATTACGTATTCATATTTTCATTGCATCTTGCAATTCTGTCGAATCTTTATCCTAATATAGTAAACTGTAGAAGTACAGTATATTGCCATATTTCATATTAAGTTTTATATCACCACTCGCTATAGAGATACCATAGTCAAACCCTCTGTGGAAATATCTCTTGCTATATTGCCAATTCCAAGAGCTTCCACTCTTACAGACCCACGGCGATATAACGAGAGTCAATTCTATGCTCAAGATATGTCAAAGATTCCGCCAATAATCGAAATAATAATACTGAATGTATCTAATTTCTATGAAATTAGGTATTGAAGAAAGGGACTCGGATTAGGTAACTTAACCCAACCTAACTCGAATCTCCACCTACTTGCAACTAATACAACAAAATTGGTATGAAATAAAATATAAAATAATGCTTATTATAAAATAAGTGTTTGTTTTATTTATTTATTCTATATGTATCGTTATTACGTTTTCAAGAATCATTTTCTCGAAAAAGAAATCGCATACGAAAACATTTTATTCCTTACTTTCGAGTTAGTTTTTCATGTACAATCAACAGTTTTCCGCATATATTACCAGTTTCTCGATTTCCTTCGATTGAACAGGTTAAGAAACAACGCTTCCGAGTTTTGAAGATACAAAAATTGTTCGAAGATCAATTCCTGTACAAGTTGAGACGACAAGAATCGGAAATAAGAGAGAAAAGAAAATGACAACAACAACAATAAACTAGTTAAAAGCTAGAAACAATAGTAAAAGAAGGAAATGTTTATCGAGACTCGAAGATTAACTTCGTACAACATTACGTCTACGTTAACAGTCTTGTCGACGTTGTTTTCTCTTTCAGCGTAACTTCGGTTTTTTTTTTCTTTATCGTTTTTTCTTTCGTTTTTTTTTTTATTACAAATTGCTCTGAAATACTTCTCTAATACGTTATTAAAATCTTGGCATAATAAACTTCAATAATACGAATACTTTCAGAAGAAAGCACGTCTTTTGACACCCATTTAACGTCAACGTTTCATTTATTATGCGATCCGATCTATTTCCCTTGTAAAAATATACAACATCAAATTTTTACAGGATCGAATTCGTTCCGTCTTCGTCTTCATCCTCTTCGTTTATTTTTATCTATTTTTTTTACCTCGGATTTTCTTTTATTTCTCTGTGCGGTCATAAATAAAAATTCTTCAAATTCTTTCCCCGTAACGGGAAGAGTACAAAAAGTCTGTAATCTTAACACGAGATTTGTATACGATTCTTAGGGTAAACGTTTTCTCTTAGGGTAAACATTTTCTCTTCTATTCGCAACATTGTACAAGTTCTACCATTTCTTTCGTTTAACCTTTGGACAGCGGATACACTCGGTTCACCTGATACTGTCCCTTACTGTATTCGTTTACATTTAGTTTAATACATTGTCCGCAAAATATATTAGGATATAATGTGAAAGGAATAGATATTTAAACTTCAGACATGTAAAATTTCAAATGTCTCAATCGTTCATTCGTCAAATACTGAAACAGGTAAATTTTATTTGAAATATTTTTTCGAATAACAAATAATTTGATAATTATATATAAAATACAAATACAAATTCTCGCAAGGTATGATCTGCTGAGATCGCGATTCTGTAATTTAAGCGATTAAAAATTGCCAGTTTGCCAAGTCAGATCGCTGTCCAAAGGTCAGTCAAATCCAAAGCCAAAAACAAACGGCGAATAAGAGATTTTTCTATTTTCTCTTTCGGAATTTCGATCTCACCACCGACAATTTTCTACGTTCCGCGGTTGACTGTCACCTGGGGGTCACCGGTGGCCGACACCAATACAAGAGAATAAAAGATACATTTTGAATAATAGATAGTTAGTATTAATCTAAGATAGAAAATTGAAAGGTAGAATTTAATCGATCGTTTTTTATTGATAATCAAAATTAATTCTAAGTCGTATGAAAAGTTTCTTCGAACGCTTCGGTTGTTCAGCTATCACTAAAAACTTTCATGGGCGTCTGCCATAGATGCCTCCCTTAGCAGCCACCGTGTTAACAACAATTTACCGAAGCAACAACGCTCGTGTATCATGGTGGCCAGAACCATACGTTTCGAGAGGAAAGAGCCTCACGATTATATCTCCTTGCACGCGAATCGACTCACGCTTATTTTCTACGACGAACACCAAAGCTTTGAACACAATCGGGGCATTAGGGAGACAGAGTCGGACGACGATAGGGGAGGGATTACGGATGAAGGGTAGAGGGAGAGGTCCCAATCAGAGAAATGCCTCGCAATCGCGTCTAAAATAGCAAACCGATCACACAGTTCCTCATCCACACGCAACGCACGCGACAATTAACAAAATCGGGGAAAAGAACAGACGGCTAGGAATCGCGTGCGGAAAACAGAACATTTTCGACGAGATTATTATTACGTATGCAAGACGTTTCAAACAATTCATATAAATATCCTTAAAACGGTTCAAGATGTTCCCACATGTTGATAGAAATATTACATGACATCAAGCGATACTTAGCTCTTAATGAAATTATTAAATTAGCTCTTAATATGTGGAAAGAATAAGGTGCAAGTTTAGTGTAAAATTAATCCAACTGTTTCACCTTTCACTCATAAGCAAAAACAGAAGGAACTGCAATTATTTAAAGATAACAAAATGTGTGTACTTTAAGAATATCACTTGACATTTAAATTCTTCTCACAACATCTCAAACTGTCTTAAAGCTATTTGTCTGAATTATCTGAAACACCCTGTATAAAATGTGTTCCACTTCACAAATTTCAGAGACCTCATACACGTTTGAAGATTAATTTCCCAAACAATTTTGTACATACATATAAACATACAATGATGCATATAAAATCTATAGGCAGGAAGAGGGTGATACCCAATGAAGTATTAAAAAAAATGTATATAACATCTTCGTTTTATTGTTTTTCTTTTTTAATAAAATAAATTATTTAATCTCCGTAACATGCATCGAGGTCATTGAAGTCGATGAAGTGGTGGACCTTGTTCTATACAATTACTTCGATTATTATTCATTTAATGAACCGTGTGCGCTTTACGACGCCTTTTGCAACCTTCCATCGCTCTTCTCTTTGCTAGTTGCTTAATAAAGCTATCCACGAGCCGACGATATTTCACGGCTGCTCATTCGCAATCCTGTTGCGAACGATCGTTAGATTAATGTGTACACAACAATGTAGAAAAGACCGTTATTTCGTTAACCCTTTCGCTACGCAGATAAAAAACGTGTCAGTAATTTAAAATTTTTTGACAAGGAAACATTCTTGTTTGTTTTAAATACAATTTTGTGAATTAGAATAGTGTATAATAGAAATAGTGACGCATCCGTAAACCTTTGGACATCATTTTGTCATGAATAATTCTTGAACAAAAGACATAGAGAAAAATATTCCCAAATAGTACAATAAACACCACAAACTTGCATTGACAAAATTATGAAGAATGTTTTTTCAAAGAAAAAGATTTTGAAAACTAGACCACAAATTTTTGTTAATACAACTATGCAGAACTTATGATACTATCAAAGTTTTATTTAATATAAGATTTGTATAATAAGCTTAGACATAATTTTGTAAATCATTTATGTAGCGTACATCGTTCTTTAATCTTAGACGTTGTTGTTCAGACTCTTTTACTTCCTTTTTGTCAGCAGAATTTTTATTGGTCTAAACTCTTAACGTTAACAAATTGAGTTTATCTGCTTATTTGTTTGGACACCATGGGTGACTGGAACCTTTATTTTATCCTCAAATTTACAGTAGACGATTTGATTCAAAGTCAAAGTGATAGTTCATTTGTTTATAACAATTACATAAATTAACAGCGACCATTTTGGAACCAGTCATATTTTAATTTTTTGCCACTTATGGCACGGAAAAAGGAATAGAAATAATTTAATTAACTTACTATGTTTTTCAAATGTGCGCGAGTACGAGTTTCATATCACATATTTAATATAAAAATGTTTATCAATTATTCGAGTGCTACATACTCTGCTAAAATGTATTTGGAAAATTTTCTCTTACGTTTATAATCGTCACACGCACAAAAATTTTCTACAGAAATAATTTGACCACAATATCGGTAGATTAAGCGTAACGTTTCTCCACATTTATAGTAAACAATTAGACACAGAAAATTATTCGTCAACGAATCTATACAACCATGAAATTTAATTCGACACATGGTACAATAGTATACAATATAAAAAAGATTCATTGTCCAATTTTTACAATTGTATTAAATTCATATATCAGTTGACTGTTTTCAAGTGTCTGCATGTAGCCACTATAGACAAACGAAACTCGCAGGGTAATAGCCAGGTTATCACAGCATAGACAAAATTTAACTCAACGTAAATTTCATCGTATTGAAAACATTAATAAATGCAATTATAATTTAGTTTTTATTTAGGAAAGAGAAGATGTTTTCTTCTGGGACAGAAGAAAAGCTATATTTTATTTTTAAGGGGAAGTCTGGCTATACCCATAAATCTCCGAATTACAGATCAGTTGCAACATCCACTATAATAGTTGGAGAGACCTCCACACATAATTCACTACTTTTAACTAGTCTCTGAAGACACAGGTCTAAATAAGTCCGAACGCGATGACAAATTATTTAAATTTAATTAAAGATCTAACTGTAAAGTTCCAACCATTATAGCATAACAAATAACAGTCTCGATCACTATAGTGGCTAAAGAAAAATTTCACCGCATAACCTAAGAAAAGAAATCCCCTAAACCTCGCTAATAAAATTGAATCCAAGAAACACGCAGAGAGCAATTTAACCTTGAAGATTACAATAGTGCTAGTTAGGTACATAAATATTGTCTCGATCACACTAGCGGCGTTGATACGATCAATTTCAACGCACAGTATAGTCATAACGAAAGGGTTAAGTAGGTCCTCGCTGTTGTCGATTGATCCAGCATATAAAGAAGAGGGAGAACCGTGATCGTCAGCCCGTTGACAGTGTTAACGCGAAATAATTTAAAGCGTTCAGCAGATCTCTCGTCGACGACTGTGCGCGCGTTTTTTATTATGAACACAGAATCCGCAATTATTCTTAACTAGCATCGTTTGTTCTCGCGCGCGTAGCATCCTCGCGACGAGGAATAAAGAAGAAAACAAACAAACGGTCGGTCCGTTGAACGCGGAGCCGTTGCAAGATCCTTGAAGAAACGTCGAGGACGCGAGATTGAATGATACAATTAAATAATATTTCGTGTGTATTTGTGTGTACATGTTTACGCGTGTTTGTCCTGTCCCGGCTATTGTTGTTCTACAATTATAAAACACACGGAGGGGACCGTCTTAAGCGTGTTTCTTCTCCGTGTTGTTGTTGGCAACGTAGCCGTTGTTCGTCCCGTTGCTGTAACAACTGTTGTATTCCTTGTTGTAGATCGTCGCGTACGACGAGACGCCGTTTTGCCGCGGCGTCGACTTGTCCTCGAGGATCGGCATACACACGCCCGTCGACGATCCGTTTTGCGCACTCTGTTTCGACTTCGATCTGTCACCGTACTTCGCTTTGTAAAAGTCCGAGAACAGTCCTAGGAATAGCAAGCCGTGCAGACCGATCCAGATCATAAAGGTACGAGGATAATCGCACTCTGTGAAGAACAGCTGGAACTGGTGACTCATGATCAACACGAATTGCACCTGAAACGAGCAACACGCTAATGTTATTTCGTTGTTAATCGCAGTGTGACAGAAATGGCTATGCTCTAAGAGTGGCTACGTCTGTTCGGAAGTTCACTCGGGCGAGTGGACGATGTGGACGGGGTGACAGGGATGGAACATCTGGCGTGACTAACAAGTTTTCAAATCCTGTGGACACAGGTCTAGATAGATATTTCAAAATCGTACATAGCTACACGTATATCACGGTAGAGACTCAGGTTCAAGTAGGGTCTGGATACGAAGTGATGCTTAAATTGTTAGTCTGCGCTGAGCATGTATTAAAGTTTATCTTAACCCCTTGCACTATTTTGACGAGTCTGACTCGTGACGCACTCATACTTCGGTTATGAACAATTTTACTCGAATTTTGAATACATTTCAATTCGGAGTTCAAGTCCAACTATAATTTGCATAGTCAACGACTGCATGATACCAAATTCACATAACATTTCAAGTTTCTGTGTCTGTTTTCATGCTATGGCTGAAATTAGTCAGTTCTGACTGACGCACTTGACAGAAACATCATAGTGCAAGGGGTTAATATCTGTGCTGAAGCATGTTTATCTTAAGAGGATGACGATGTACCATTTGGAAGGTAGTCAGGTACTTCTTCCACCAGATGTACTTTTGATACTCCGGGCCCATCGCGGCCACCATGTAGTAGAAGTACATAATGATGTGAACAAAAGTGTTCAGAAGGGCGAAGAAAGTGCTGTGGCCACCTGGCGCGAACTTTGCCCCCAGCCAAACGGAGAAGGGCATTATTCCATGGTGAATCACGTGCAGCGTCGACACGTGTTGAGTTTTCTTCCTCAGTATGAAAAAGAGCTGGAAAGAAATTAATCGGATGATTTACGCGTTAGGCGAAAAAGTCGAGTGTGTACTTACGGTATCGAACAACTCGGTGAATTTACTGATGTAGTACCACCAACATGTGTTCACCATTCGTAGCGCTATCGGGCTGTACGAATAGTCGACCGGTTGGCACCGGAAGCTGTATCCTTTCGCCCAGCCACTCATCAAGTACTGAAACAAGAAAATGCCGGAAAGTGAGGACAATAAAAGGGTTGCATTCAAACGGGGGTAGAACGACAATCAGCGTATAGAAGCGCGATCGCTCGTTTTTCACGGAGAAACTCTGTACCCGCTCGCTTTGTTCGATCAAGAAGCCGGTTGGCGATGCTGGACGAGGAGGGTGAAGGGGGAGGGGAACAAAAGAATCCTCGGCTACCGTTACGTTTCTCTCGCAAGATGACTTCGGGTCTATTTAAAATTCTAAAAGCCAACCCCCCTCTCGCTCCTTCGAGATTTACGGAACAATACCGCTCTGTTTGTTTCGCGTTTCATCCGTGTATATGTGAGTCTGTTTCGTTTTTCCTTCCTTAACCCCTTGCACTATTTTGACGAGTCTGACTCGTGACGCACTCATACTTCGGTTATGAACAATTTTACTCGAATTTTGAATACATTTCAATTCGGAGTTCAAGTCCAACTATAATTTGCATAGTCAACGACTGCATGATACCAAATTCACATAACATTTCAAGTTTCTGTGTCTGTTTTCATGCTATGGCTGAAATTAGTCAGTTCTGACTGACGCACTTGACAGAAACATCATAGTGCAAGGGGTTAATATCTGTGCTGAAGCATGTTTATCTTAAGAGGATGACGATGTACCATTTGGAAGGTAGTCAGGTACTTCTTCCACCAGATGTACTTTTGATACTCCGGGCCCATCGCGGCCACCATGTAGTAGAAGTACATAATGATGTGAACAAAAGTGTTCAGAAGGGCGAAGAAAGTGCTGTGGCCACCTGGCGCGAACTTTGCCCCCAGCCAAACGGAGAAGGGCATTATTCCATGGTGAATCACGTGCAGCGTCGACACGTGTTGAGTTTTCTTCCTCAGTATGAAAAAGAGCTGGAAAGAAATTAATCGGATGATTTACGCGTTAGGCGAAAAAGTCGAGTGTGTACTTACGGTATCGAACAACTCGGTGAATTTACTGATGTAGTACCACCAACATGTGTTCACCATTCGTAGCGCTATCGGGCTGTACGAATAGTCGACCGGTTGGCACCGGAAGCTGTATCCTTTCGCCCAGCCACTCATCAAGTACTGAAACAAGAAAATGCCGGAAAGTGAGGACAATAAAAGGGTTGCATTCAAACGGGGGTAGAACGACAATCAGCGTATAGAAGCGCGATCGCTCGTTTTTCACGGAGAAACTCTGTACCCGCTCGCTTTGTTCGATCAAGAAGCCGGTTGGCGATGCTGGACGAGGAGGGTGAAGGGGGAGGGGAACAAAAGAATCCTCGGCTACCGTTACGTTTCTCTCGCAAGATGACTTCGGGTCTATTTAAAATTCTAAAAGCCAACCCCCCTCTCGCTCCTTCGAGATTTACGGAACAATACCGCTCTGTTTGTTTCGCGTTTCATCCGTGTATATGTGAGTCTGTTTCGTTTTTCCTTCCTTTTTGTTTGTAATTTTTCGGAAAAGAACCAGGCCAGTCGGTTGCTTAAGCATGACCCTAAACAGCGGTCCAGATCGATTCACCGGTAAACTGGGCTACGATTAACACGTTTCAGACCGTATTCTAATGTTCTCCGCTAAAAACGAAACAACGGGGAGAACAAAGGCAAGGTAATGACGTGTTTCGAACGTTCGCGACATCTTCCAACGCTCGGTTGCCCGAGCAACGCGATCAAACTTATTTCAAGAGCCGTAATTATGCGGTAGGTTTTTAACCCAACATAATCGGATCGATCGACGTATCGCGGAAGAAAAATCTCCAACATTTGGTGGGATCTCGTGCTATCCGTTATCGCGTGACGCACGACATCCGATTGGTATCATCGACGCCGGTAACACGACGACATTCCATTTAAACTTGACCGTGTTAAGCAGTCGGAAAAGCTCAAGTGTGATTGCGTGGGTTGGCCAGCTAACGAGAACAGTACGCACGTATGGCCGAGAGAGTTGTGTGTCAAGGTCGCATAGTGTGAGATCTCGCGTTACACGCTGTCGTACATAACGTGAGCCGCAGCAATTTTCGAACGGCTTATCAACGCTTAATTAGAATTTCGCCAGCCACGCTGCTCCACTTTCCGCCCCGTTTTCTCGCTAATCCATTGTGCCTTTCGTCTGAAAGCCGGAAGTAATGAGGCTGATGGGTCGACGTTGGTTGCTGCTGCTGGAATGCTGAAGCGGTTACACCGTATCTTCGAGTTATCGATGGTTCGAGAATCTTTTAGCTGCGTCTACTTTCTTCTTTTTTCTATGTCTTCATACTTTGTACTGTTTAACATGTGCGTCAGACGCACCAAACTATGTTATGAACACTAAACATGTCGAAATGTTATGAACACTAAACATGTCCAAATATTATGAACAATAAACATGTCGAAATATTATGAACATTAAACATGTCCAAATATTATGAACACTAAACATGTTGAAATATTATGAACACTAAACATGTCCAAATATTATGAACACTAAACATGTTGAAATATTATGAACACTAAACATGTCCAAATACAAATATTATGAACACTAATC